GACCCCCTCAGCGGCGAGTGCCTCTGCAAGCGGCTGGTGACTGGGCGCAGCTGTGACCAGTGCCTGGTGAGCGGGGATGTACTGGGAGCCATGCATGGTGCTCAGGGGCTGCGCGTGGTGCTTGATGCTCGGGAGCTGTGCACAGTGCTCCAGACCATGGCACTGTGGCCAGGCGCTCTCTGACACCTTTGCCGTCCCCAGCCCGAGCACTGGGGGCTGAGCCACGACCTCCCGGGCTGCCGGCCGTGCGACTGCGACGTGGGAGGTGCCCGCAACAACCTGTGAGTCTTCTCGGGGACGCAGGGAGTGAGGGGCATCCCTGCTGGCGTTGGGTCTGACTGTGCTGCCCGGGTACCAGGTGTGCCATGGAGACGGGGCAGTGCCAGTGCCGCAGCCATCTGGTGGGACGACAGTGCGGCCAGGTGGAGCCCGGCTTCTACCGCGTCGACCTGGACCATTACACCTACGAGGCTGAGGATGCTCGGCTGCATCAGGTAAGGGACCGAGGTGTCCCTGGGGGGCAGAGCAGGGTACTGGGCAGCTCTTTGCAGGGTCCCCATGCTGGCAGGCACCCCTCTGCCCCAAAAAAATTTTTGGGGTCCCATCTCATGAGGCCCCTTCACACCAGGGTTCGGTGGTGGAGCGCGAGCCTCCCACGGACCACCCGGCTTCGTGGACAGGGACGGGCTTTGCCCGCGTGCTGGAAGGCAGCTGGATAGAGTTTCACATGAGCAACGTGCCTTTCTCCACCGAGTACGACGTGATCATCCGCTACGAGCCCCAGGTGAGCACCGGCCAGCAAAGCTGGCGGTGGGATGCATTGCCAGATTGGGAGGTGATGGTGGGGAGCGCTGGCTGCTGAGGCTTTTTGGCACATGCCCTTCTCTGCTGGTAGCACCCGGAGCCCTGGCAGGAGGTGAGGGTGAGGGTGCTGCTGCCCAGCGCCATCTCCGCCAGCAGCCCTTGTGGAAACACCATCCCAGCCGACGACCAGCTCTCCACCAGCCTCCCCTCCGGTGCCAGGTGAGCATCTCGCCGGGACCGGGCTGTGCCGGGACTCGCAGGAGGCTCCCGGCTCCCCACGCTCTGCTTTGCCCCCCCAGGTACGTGGTGCTGCCCCAGCCCGTCTGCCTGGAGCAGGGCTGCTCCTACACCCTGCGCCTGGAGCTGGGCTGTGCCACTGCTCGGCGGGATCCCACCACCAGCGTGCTCATCGACTCGGTGAGGGACGGCGGGGTGGGGGGCAGGGTGCAGCTGTAGGGGACACGGGGTGAGACAGGCGTGACGTCCCGCTGACTTGCCGCCCCGCAGCTGGTGCTCCTGCCCCGTTACTCCTCGCTGGAGATGTTCATCGCGGGCGACCCCGGCTCCATGGAGCGCCGGGAAACCTTCGAGCGGTACCGCTGCGCCCAGCCCTTCCACGCCGCGGGGCCGAAGGCC